ACAAGGACTCCCTGAAACAACATCTCAGCCTGGGCCATATTGATTACCATAACTGGTCTACTTTGGACTCTAATCGGGAGGCCTGGAGACACACCATCTATAACGCTGCTGATGCTTTTGAGAAAGCACGCAGGATCACCCTTGAGGAGAAAAGACAATGCAGAAAGAATCGTGCCCTGCAGAATATACCATCTAAGGAGTCTTTCTGCTGTGCCTTTTGCAACCGGACATGTCTGTCTCATATTGGCCTTTTTAGCCACCAATGCACCTGCAACAAATGTGGGTAGAGCCCTTCCCAAATCTTCGTTCGCGAAGCCTAGCCATGATGAGACCCTTGTGGAAGGGAGGAAGGACTGACTTCTCTGCACAGCAATTTATCTGAAACAAGCATGACCCTCTGAACCTCCTTCATCCTTGTGAAAAAGAGGTGGAATGAGGAAATGTGAAGAGGAAATTGCTCCAGATGAAAAAAGAGGAAGACATTCCTAATTCTGGCATTATGCTTCAGATTTTTCATTACCTTTTCCATATTCAGACTTCTATTTCATTATCTTTTCTATATTCATTCAGAATGGATATTTGCTTGTTTTATCTGGAGTTAAATTTTTTTGGTCATTGAAAGTGTCCCTTTGGGATGTAAATTCTCTTTTCTCCTCCTCTAAGGAAGAATGTACTGCCACTCAAACTCTGATTCTTACCTTGTGCTTTCCTTGCCTGTAGCAATTGTTTACGGAGTGGGTGGGTTGTGCAGCATGTGGTGGACATAGTGTTAGGCTTCCTGTGTAATACATTTCTTTTTTCTTCACTCACAATTGGAATTGGGGTTGTTTCATAGAGCAAGAAAACACATTTTGAGATTCAAGTTGCAGTCATTTTTATTGGCACCACTATGCCCAGGAATATTTCTTTAGACAATCAAACAAGAAGCTCAAAACTCAACCGTATAATTTTGTTAGTCTTAGCAAATATAAGAACTTAGCAAAGTATCTTCACATTTTCTATTTTTAAACCTTATATGTAGCACACGTTTATCTCTGAGCTGACAGTGTCATCTTGGTAGTCCACTGACGATGCAAGAAAAGTATTTCATGTTACAATGTGATCATAAATAAGCAGAATGACATTATCTAAAATGTAAAGATTAGCTGCTGCTATTCTGAGCTAGGCTTAGAGATGTGACATTTCCCTGTAGAGCAGCTGTGAAAAACTGTACCATCATTTTTTGCAAAGCTCTTATTGGAGTAGCATTAAATATCTTGAAGCATCAAAGTACTCAGAATCCACCAGCAGCTCCTGTTTCAAGTCAATCTGTAAAATACCTTTAGAACTTGCAAAATTATAGTCAACTTTCCCTTCTCAGTTAGTTGGTAGAGATAAAAGTCAGTTATCTGCTATGAGCTCTGTGTTCTAGCACAAAAGGAAGTGGGAAGGAAACTGAAAAATACTGAAAAATTTTCTTAAAGGTACTGGTTTTTTTGGTGCCATTAGTATGGCCAGTCTTCACGAGCGAAGATTTGGGAAAGGTCATTAACCCTTCGAGCCTGCGCAGTGGATTTTTTAGGTGAGACACAGTGTGCGCTGAACTGAGCCCACCCTTTAATCCTGAGGTTCATCTGCCGGGGCCGAGCGAGCTTGGACAGTGGCAGCGAGGTCCTCAGACTGTAGGTTTGTTCAGAGTGACCTTCTCTTAGATGGATGGCCTTACAGGGCTGAAGGAGCTCCATCTGCCCAGGGGAATTTTACTCTGAGTGGGAATCGAACCTGGGTCGCAGTGGTGAGAGTGCTGCAACCTAACCACTAGACCACTAGGGGCCCCTGGTGCCATTAATAAAGGGAATTAATGGTCCCAAGATAGAAGATCAACATATTAGTAGAAAAGAGACTGTTTATAAAGGTATTAACAGCACCCAGAGGCAAGTAAATCACTGCCAAGTTGCATACAGGCTTTGGAAGTTTATATCAAACCACTGTCACTTTTAGCTTTTAGGAAAGAAAGCTCCCTGGAGTACAGTCAACCTATAAGCTCCCTTGCAAGGTGTTTTGCATTTTCTTTTGAAGAGTTCACCATTCATCACTGCTGCTGACTTAAATATGTGACCAAGATGAGTCACTAAACAATGCCTGAACCCCCTCTTAGTCACTCCCACCCACTGCAGGTTTGTCCTTTATTTCAGTTTGGTGCATGAATTATATCCCCAAAAATTCATTAATCCCAGAATCTCTTGACAAACCATTTGATGCCCCTCAAAATTGTAAAAATTCATCTATTTGCTGGCATAATATGTTTCTATGATGGGTATTATTAGTATTAGGGCACCTCAAACTTCACGAATATATTTTCTCTTTCAGTTTACTGACTGAAGGAATATTTTCATCATTTTCAATAATGCTGTATCTTAATAAGTCACCTCTTGTGTCAGCTGCCTTAAAATCTGCTTAAAACTTCTTCTTCAGTGTGAAGCACAAGAGTTCTGGCAGTGTTGGTCTTGTCCATGTTACTGACACACATGTGCCTCTCAGGCAAGCAACATGATGTTTTGACATATTCCCTGCTTCAGCTAGCAGACAGTTGCCATTCATATATATATGAATATGCACCTATATACATATATAGAACTAAACAATGCATATATATGTATGCATATATAAGCTCTGCTGTGCACAGCTTTTGTTCTGCATACACACAGCACTGAAAACCATTTAACTTCAATTTGTAGCAAGGTATCAGGCACTGCCACTGTCCGTGTACTAAACTGTGATTGCAGGCTCTGGTCCCACAGTACATCAGGGACAGAGTATTTGAGGGGGTGACAAATAGCATGTTTTCCACTATTTTTTGGAAGACTTAAGTTGAAAATAACTGCATGTCCCGACAGTATAACTGTCATTTTGGTGCCACAGATTTGAAAGTTCTCTTTGGAAGTACATTGGGTTGTTATATATAGCTTTGCTGAAAGATACTTATCCTTGACAAGGACATCTCTGCCAGTTGTTTAGAATTACCCTTGTCCTATTTTGTCATGAAACTCACTTAATTTGAAAACACATATGAAAAGGGGAACATATTTATTTCATGTCAATACCAATATATGCCAATACCTTAACTCCTGTCTGACTCCATTATCTAAATAATAAAGAGGTGTTTAAAAGGAAAATAATTTTGTGACATTTTCTATCCACTGACCATAGCGATGATATGACAATTATTATTTTACCCAAGATTGCTCTGTGACTCTAAATGTACATAAGGCAAAGAAATAACCTCTTTTTCTGGCAAATAAATCAAATGCTTCCAAAGATCTTCAGCAGCACTGAAGCTTGAAGCACAAGCAGCCTTCCAGGATGACAATACAATCTCTACTTTATATTTGTCTCTTTTTTCTTTCTGGAACTACAGCTCGAATACACAGCAAGGCTGGATTTTCTGTGGCGTGTACAAGCAAAAGAAGAAATCAATGAAATGAAGGAGCTGAGGGAGCACAATGAAAACATGCTACGGAATATTTTACCCAGCCATGTTGCCCGTCACTTCCTGGAGAAGGATCGAGATAATGAAGTATGTGTCAGTTTTATTTCTGATATTTTTGTTTAATTAGTAAAAGAAAAGCAGATCTGTTAGGAAATTGTTGAAACTTAGTTCTCTATAGGATTTATTGCACAAATACTGCCAATATTTTGTATCTGATTCACACTGAAAAAAAAAATTCATGTTTTGAAATAAAGGTTCTAGGGCCACATCAGGACTGATGTTTCAATGTTCAGACTCAACAGCAGGAAATATGTGGATCTACTAGAGCAAGTCTAGCAGACAGTCACCAAGATGATTAGGGAATTGGGGCACATGACATATGAGGAGAATCTGACAGACCTGGGATCGTTCAACTTTAAGAGCAAAATGCTGAAAGACGATGTCATTCTCGTCTTTCAGTACCTAATGGGTGTTTATAGAGAAGAAATTATTAGAGGTCTGGAGCAACTCTCTTATGAAGAGAGACTGCAGGAGCTGGGCCTCTTTAATCTGGAGAAGACTGAGAGGGGATCTCATTAATGTATATAATATCTCAAAGGTGGATGCCAAGAGGATGATGCCAGACTCTTTATGGTACTGCCCAGCAACAAGACAAGGAGCAGTGGCCTTACCTAAAACACAAGAAGTTACACCACGACATGAGGGAGAACTTTTTTACATTGAGGGTGACAGAGCACTGGAACGGGCTGCCCAGGGAGGTCATGGATTCTCCCTCTCTGGAGACATTCAAAACCCACCTGGATGCATTCCTGTGTAACCTGCTTTAGATGACCATGCCTTGGCAGTGGGGGGTTGGACTGGATGACCTCCAGAGGTCTCTTCAAACCTGTGATTCAAACCTGTGATTCTGTGAAGACAGAGCCTAGATCAGCCCTCAACTGAAGAAGGCCATGAAAGGCTTGACCTAGTTGGCCCTGCTTTGAAAGAAAACTGTATTAAATGACATTCAGAAGTCCTTTCTAACCTATGAGTCTATGAAGATCTATTATTCATAGAAACGACATGTGAATTTAACAGAATGTCTGTGCAAACTTACAATAGTGTTGCAGAAGTACTATTAAGAGCCCTGCTGGTGATTATGGAAGCAGTCTGTGCAACAGGCAGCAACAGACCTGAGGCTCTCATATCTTCAGACACAAGAGGACATTTTTGCCATTTCATATTGCCCCTGAATTACCTCTTTATAGCAGTTAACAAAACACCCATTTCAGAAACATAGTTTGTGGCTATGTTCCTAAAAAGTGTTTGCAGCACACAAAGAAAAACATGTTAAAGGAGACTCTGGATATTCCTAAGACAAAGCTTGAAGAGGTATAAAGGAAAGTTCAGAATTTGTTTCTGAAAGCAGCAGTAAATCACTTACTTCTTATTTGAAATAAGGCAAATGCATATTATAATATTATCTGTAAATAAAGTCTACTGTATGATAAAACTGGAATATTCTCACATAATGTTGGAATAATCTTTTAGAAAATGAGGAGGTATTTTGCAAGATTCACATTGCCAGAACTGACATATCTTTCATTATGCAGCAATAAGACATCAAGGCCACAATTTTCTGATTGTACATTTTGGAAATAGACATAGCTAGACAAATTAGACTGCACAATGAGGAATCATTGTGTTCTGATTTCAAGTATCACCTAGAGAAGGATGAAGCTTCTCTTGTAGTGAGAAGCTACAAGAAAAGGCACTTTAGAAATCAATCTCTTGAGAAATTTTACACTCCGTGGGTATTAAACTGCCATAAAAACACTGCTCTGCACATGAGAAAATGTATGTGTGAAAGCAACAAGGTTAAAATGTTTCATTGCAAATGGAGCAGACCCTGACACCAACCAAGAGTGTATTCTGGCATATCTGCATTATGGATTTTCAGGAAATAAGTTTTTTATCTTACACTTTCATTCACATACAGTCACATGCATAATAATCTTCAGAAGTAAGCAGATGCCCCATGGCTCACTGCTGATGCTTCAGTAATTTGCCACTGAATTCAATTCCACCACCCCTGCTTTTTGTAAGGCAATTTCCAGAGTAACTATACTTGTGGATGATTTATGCATGAGCTGGCAGACTGTAACATCTACCAGATTTCAGTACAATCAATCCTGCAGTTCATGTCTGGCCATTAAGTTAATTTCTCTGCTCTCAAAAAAATGAATTCCCAAATGTGTACTGTAGCATTTTCTCATGGATGTATTATTTCTGCCTTGATGCTTCTTACCAAAAATAGAAAACCAGAGCAGCTGAAGGCTCAGCCAGTTGTTTTCTATCTTCATGATCTGAGGAAAGAGTATGCCTGAGTGTGTCCGTGCTTCTCCTAGCACATATTGTCAAATCTTCCATAAACAGCCACAAACTAATTTGTGTATTATCTTTCTCTATACCCACAAAAGGGAATAAGAGTGTCCTTAGAGTGTGGCCTCCACAACCCTGAAGATTTTCTTCCATGAAAGACAGTGTAAGGGCAGGAAAGGAATCAATTGTGTTTTCTCAATCAAAGCTTTGCAGGGACTTCGCAAACTGGAAAAATTTCTCCACTTTTATTGTGGGACGCTTTGTTAAAGAGCCCAGCTAAGTAGCAGCATTAATGGCATATTAAAGTGCAGGCCTGGGATTCAGGATGCTTTTCTAGGGAGAAGCAGAATGAAGGAAGAAGAGCCTGAAGTGTTCACATCAAGTGTAAGGCAACCAACAGTAAATCTTTTTAATATAAGACCAAAGCGCCAAAATTTTTTAAAGCCATTACCAAGAACATTGAGAAAAAAGTACTTCAGGTTAGAATGGCATGAGAAAAGTCCCAAAACAGAAATGGAAGTGTCCACCATTGGGTAAAACTATGGAAATTCAATCTTGGGAAAAAAATCAACAAAGGAGAGTGCATATGGTAGTGGTATATTACCAGGAGTTACTGTGAAGCTCTGCCCTTGGCATTTTTAAAGTTGAAATTAATTTGTTCCTAAAAATTAGCTTTAGTTCAGAGAAGAACTGTCCACATTTTCACACAGGTAATGGCACAAAGCCCTCCATCTGTTAGTCAGTACCAGAGTGAATTATATGAATAATGTAAGCGGGAGCTTATTCCAGGGCATACTTTGTCCTAATAGCCTCCTGTGACTGATCCTTTATAAGCTGCTTTCTGTCCCCAGTAACTCTACTACTACCCTCACTTCTGTTTCTCTCTCCTTTCAAACCCTATTAGCAGGAACATCTCCAGGAGTCAGGCAACCAAATAGCTTCATAGTCACCTTACAAGAACCCCAGTTTACCAGATAGTAAGGGCTCTCTGAAACCTGTGAATAAACAAACTTGTAAAGAGCTGCAGTAGTTTGAAGTACAAAATATCCACCAGAAAATGTGGTTACTGAGAGTATTTTTTATAAAGACATCATATTAGACATTTTAAGTGCTCCCATCTTATCCCCGTCAATAAATAAATTTATAAATATATTGTCAATTACAAAAGTTTGAGACAGACTTAAACAATAATAAATAGCAAACATTAGGTTCCTTTTACTTGTCTAAGTGTTCGGTTATTTGGTATTCATACTTGCAAATGAATCCTTCATTTCTTCAAGTCATTCCCCTTATAAATTAAAAGGGAAATTTCTATTTCATTTTTGCTGGTGTAGCCCCTTGACCTGAGAAGCAGAAGGAGCAGGCTTTCAAAGAAAGGGCAAACCCTGTCCACAATCTGCAATAAAAACATAAGAGCTGTCAGCCTCATCCTGTTGAACTTGGCTAACACTTCATACACTAATGCCAACATCAGATATTAAGGTATTATGCATGGAGAAAGTAACAGAACTATTTTAATTGCAGCTAATTACACTTTTTCCCTATGTTACCACTTTATTCATCATTCTTCATTGTTCTTTTAGGAATTATACTCTCAGTCCTATGATGCTGTTGGTGTGATGTTTGCTTCTATTCCTGGATTTGCTGACTTTTATTCCCAGACTGAGATGAATAACCAAGGAGTAGAATGTCTGCGCTTGCTGAATGAAATCATTGCAGACTTTGATGAGGTAATACCAGCTAGAGAAAACCTGATAGTGCTTAAACAGTGAGTTCCAAAATATAAAATATCTCATCCTAAATTATCAAATTTAGTAATTATTTTGCTTCCAATAATTGACTGATTTTATTTTTGCTCCAATTAAAATTGTCTGGTTTGTTTTTATGCCATTCATCTTGCCAAACATTGGTCTGAATGACCTAGTGAGATAGAGGCTGAAAGCAATACTTGAGTGTAAACATTCATAAGTAAAAGCACAGATCTGGGTAACTAGAAGAAGAAAATGCCTTAGTTCTGTAGAAGAAATAAGTATGAACATATTTCAGCAGTTCTGGAAAATAGTGGTCTAAAAGCAAACAGATAAAAATGTTGTTTTGAAGGTATTGTTTGAATGGACTCAATGAATGCTAAAGGTAAGATAGTGCCAAGTTAAATGTGAAGCACAGAAGCAAATGTTGGGTAGAGAATGAAAGGTGGTGGTGATATATTAACTGAAGAGAATTGTCTGGTCAGGGATTTTAGAGAGGTAAATGAAGTAAAGCTGCTTGTTTTACTTAGGAATTCAGAGGTGAAGGGAATTTATTTTATTTTTAATGGAGACAAAAAGGAAAAAGAATTTATTTAGGTATCCTGTCCAGGTAATTTCAGAAAAGGAGCTGAGGAAGGGATAAGATAAACTGGAGAAAAAGAGTCAGATTCCCAATGTAGCTATTGCTAGGTGGAAGTAAAGGAAACCTGGTAAGTAAGGAGGAATTTGCATACTAAGTATTGCATACTCTGCTAACTATTTAGTAAGGAAGTTTAGACAGGTGGTTTCAAGCCTTGCAAGGAGCCCAAGAGGAACTGAGAAAAGACACAAAGCATCGACCAACGAAGAGCTTTGAAAAAACTTCAAAACCAGGAAGGGTGCAAAAATGCTGCCAAAATTACCTGGCATAGGGAATTTTAACCTATACACTGCAAGCAGTTTTCAGGAGTGTGTAGCCCTCCTCAGCTTCCTGAGTAGTAGAAACAGAATTTGAACCATCTCTACTTATCAGTGAGATTGCATCTGTGTGCCAGACTGGAATGGTCTAGATAGAACAGGGAAGGGGAAAATGTGGAACCGTTGGTCTGTGACTCCTTATCCTGGGCACGTTCATAGAGTGGCTGCTCATAAAACCAGGGTTAAGATCACCAAACTCTGAGAGACACTGAAATTAAGAGTTTATCCTTATAATTGGTGCAATACTAAAACTATCAGTGAGAAATAGAAGAATTCACAGGGAATGTATTCCTGTGGATTTTAGTAAAGAACAAAATTAGTCTCCTATGAAAAGAACTCTGTCACCTGCTAAGCTCGTGCACTGCTTTCCCTATGGATATAAATACCCACTTCTTACCTCCAAGATCTTGCACAGCTGTCAGCATGCTTCTTGATTAATAGCTTTGTTTTTCTTTCCAGATCTGATTAAAATGATTACTGCTCAAACTTAAATTAATTCATGGCAATAGTCTTTCCATTAAGATATTTTGTCATGCACGTTCACGCAATCTTCACAATAAAATTCCATTGTTGCTGCGGCGATTACTGAAGAAAAGGTTTTCATCAAAACCTTAACGCAATATTACTTTCAGGCCCCTAACACCGGCTCTGTAATTAATAAAGGACCTAATTAGGGACTGTATTATGTCCCAGACATGTTTTGTTGAATAATAGGTATGTTCTTGGTATGAGTATTAAATGAAATTATGTGATCCCCTGCTGACTGCTAACCTACTTGCAGCATGGTCTTGTCATTAGTTTATTCTGCCTAAGCAATGTGTAAGGTGATATGCCAGAAAAGCAACTCAAGGGAGTAATGATACCCATGGAAAATGAACCAGAAGGCATTCTGGGCATTCAGGGCTATCTAGGTTTCCATGTAACTATTGACTGACACTACATGACGTTGCTATTCCTTTTTTTCATTACGCTCTTTGCCAAGATTTTCTGCTGTCTCGATACAGTCCGGGAAGCAAAATACACATGTGCAGACTGAGAGCAGAACATGCCTGTGACCCATGGGAAAACTTTGTTCCTCAGCATCATGTGAACACCTCTGTAGAGATACCGTAATGTAGAAAGCACAGGAGTGTAAGACATGGGCACCTGGTGCCATTTACAAATCCTGATTTGAGAAAGCAACACGGGATTTCAGCTGCCATGCTGCATTACCGGAAAACTCATGTTGTTCTAGAGCAAGCCATTGGAGGTTTTGGAGGAAAGTGTGCTCTAGATCACACTAGACATACATGTTTAGACAACTGAATTCAGTTCCTAAGCTCAAATCAGATTCTACACTGCGAGTCCCCTCTTTTCATCACCGAGATAATAGTATTAAGGATGACCTGTCCATAGGGCCAGGATGATGTTTCTGAATGAAAGGAGAGGTAAAAATACAAATTGAAACAAATTGAAAAAATACAAATTTCTGGCTTGGAAAATGTGATAGGTGCAAAAGAAGGAAAGCTGGAAAATAAGGAAATCTTATTTCTTCTATTTAGAGGGTTTTCCTTGTTACGGCAAAACAGTGGGGTTACAGTCTGGATCTGTTATTTTGCTTTCCACGTAATGGATCTATGTTGGACAAAGCCAGTCAAACAAAAAATAGTGAATGGTGGAACAGAACCTGCCACTGAAAACTGCATGGGGTAGGTGCCCACGGAGCAGTCAGCTTGTGATTGGGTGTTTCTTAGGGAGCTGGGGGAACATGGTCCAAAAGTCAGTCTTGGAGAGTAGGTGGTTGACTCTTCTCAGAGGACTGCCTCCACTCAGGGGTTTTTCCCTCACGGTTCACAAATCTTTTCATTTCCAAGTTATCCAGTTTTCCTCTCAGCTGAGGCAGAATTGGAGGTGCTGGTTTCTGGACTGACAAAAAGAAACAAATATGAACATCGAAAATCTACTTTTATAATTACCTATTTTTTGTATGACTGTAGTCTTAAGACACATACAAGGCTAAAGTCTTAGAGAAGTTGGACCAAAAATTAACATTGGAGCATTTCTCCTGAAATCACAAGTCTTGAAGGATTTCTTTTAAAATGTAATATTCTTTCTAGCCTTTTTAATCTATCATTTATGTCTCTTAATGTTACAGTTGGGATTTGTGCTTTAATAGGAGTTTTCTTGTTCACAGTTGGGGTTTTTTCCTCACATTTTCTTTATCCTGCAGTGATTTACATAATGAATATGACAACAGCTATTAATATATTATGTTGCCACAAGTAGAGGTTTCAACAGAACACTAGATCCTGTTTTCAGATTTCCTTCGATTACCCTTCAGTTGTGTGCCATGTCCTGGAATATTCTTTTTTTTACTATCTTGTACATGTTATCCCAGGTCTGAGCTCCCTACAACCTTGGCTGTGCAAGAACTGTAGCATCAAGCTTTTAAGGCACAAATCACATTCTAGTGTTTGAAAATGTTCCCTGGACTATTGTGGTAAATTAGCAGCCTATTTAAAATGCAGCAAATAGCAGCTGATTTAAGACTGAGTTGGAATACCTTTCCCCAATACCAAAATCCATCGACCTGTAATACTGTGAAGAAAGTAATTGGTAAATAGATTGTTATTTGAAGAAGGAAAGAAGCTATTGAACAGGCCAGATATAGCAAGGGGGAAAAAAAAGAGATTTGGAACAATAATGAACAAGGGGTAAAAAGACAACCTGAGATCATTTCTTCTAAATTATCTCACAGACAATAGTTTCCTTCTTCCTTAAAAAGAGTAATTTTAGATATTTATTATACGTTTTAAATTAGTGTTCTGTTTGCTGTTACTTCCAGCAACCATGAGGAAATGAAAATATAGACTGTTTTCATCTAAGACTCTTTTCTCCCCTTGCCCACACACCTGGTGCTCTCAGACTGCTCATAAAGGCAGAGCTGCGAGAAATGATCTTTAAGAGAGCAGTTGGAAGGGCTGCCCTTGTAGGAGGGAAAGGTACATCATGGGCTTTTCTGGCAGTTTGAAGAAAAATGAGAAGCAGGTCAAGTTTTCGGAGTTTCCTGGCTTGGATGGGAGCCATTAACCATATGGCTTTGTATTCCCTCTGCTCAGTGCTGAGCAGCCTCCCATTAGAGACAGATGGTGCAATATCTGCACATGAACAGCAAAGCTTCCAAGACCCCAGCGCTCCAGCTGACGTACACTGTGGTTAGTTCAATGGCAGGGGATATTTCATGTTATGCCTTTGGTATGTTTCTCCCTTTGAATTAAATAATCCCCTTAATAGACAGGAAATTCCAACCCACAGAATGGAAAAAGAATGCACAACAGTGTATGAAAAATAAGGGGGAAATATTTCATTAAATTTTTGCCTGACCACAGAAAGACTTTTTTTTTCATTTAAACCACAATGGAGACTTTAGAACTGAAAGTTTGAAATTCCTTTACTTTGTGAACAGATTTTTTTCTGCCCAGAATTTGCTAACCATATTGATACCTGCATTCATTAGATACCACACAGTTTATCACAGATCCCAGGAGTATTTGGCATTAACATCAGCAATAAACATTTTAAAAGCCTGTGATGAGATGACTAATGGCCATGTACCACAGTCTATTGTCATTGATTGAGTCCACATCCTGAACTCTGCTTAGGTCTTTCAAGGAATGTAAGACTGGTTTCTATTCCATGAAAATCTTATGTTAAGCCATAAATATAGACTTGGAATAGGGACCAAACTGTCACTCTCACTTCACTCAGTGCTTCAGTCACTAGACTAAATTTATTCTTCCTTTTCCAGATTCTCAAGTTCTTTATACCTACTTAACACCCATAGAATCATAGAATGGTTTAGGTTGAAGGGACCTTAAAGATCAACTAGTTCCAATCCTCCTGCCATGGGCAGGGACACCTTCCACTAGACCAGGTTGCTCAGAGCCTCATCCAGCCTGGCCTTGGACACTGGTCTCATCACCTGAATTGTTGCTGTAGCAGCACTTAATTTGCAAACTGAGTTCCTCCAAAAGAGTTTTAAGAACACTTTTAAGTGATCAAATCTTCTTCTATTCACACATACATACACAGAGTTTGTCTTCACGAATAATCAGTGATCATACCTCAGGAAATGCAGGACTCAGATGCATTTATGTTAAGCTGGAATATGTATGTCTTACATTAGCCATTATGGGATTTACCAAACAGCACAATTTAGCTTGAATGCACTCTGTGAGTAGGTGATGTTGCAAAGGCCCAGATGAGTGTGTCCCAGAACCCAAATGGAAAATACCACAAGCGTAAAGATTCATTTTCATACCTGTATAAGTATTTTGTGTTAATAATTACAAAAGTAACAGGTTTTTTTTTTTACATATGTGTTAGTTACTAGGTGAAGAGAGATTTCAAGATATTGAAAAAATTAAAACAATTGGCAGCACATACATGGCTGTGTCAGGATTATCACCTGAAAAACAGGTAAGAGAATAGTTTTCTTTAAAAAGCAAAGCTTGTGATTCATCTAACCATTCATATCGAAAAATATTAGTGTTATCTTTGTGTTGCTCATAAAGCTGTTTTGGCTAAAATAAAATAGACATTTGGGGCTTCTGGCAGACAATAGTTGCACTTCTTGATGAATTGAAATGCCATCTTCTGCTTGAAACAAGAACCATATGGATTCTTTCCTCAAATTTAGGTTTATAGTAGAAAAAAAACTTCCTTTCAATCACACCAATATGAATCTAGATCAGGTCTATCTATATCTTCAGAAATACTCTAAAGTCATCACTGTAACTCAGACTGGAACATGACTGACAACCTCCAACAATTGATGAAGAGAGAGGATCTATTAACTGACAGCATCCTTATGCAAGTGTAATGCTGCATTTGTACTGTTTTGTGACATAGCTTATCTACAGACAGCACAATAACTATACATCAGAAAGAAAGCAGACCATCAATTCAACTGAAGAACAAGCAAAGCAAGCTGAGGAGGAAATCAGTCACAGAGGACACATACACAGTCACAGCCATAAACCTCAGATAAGTCAGATGAGAGAAATACATTATTAATTCCACACAAGAACTTGCCTGGAAACAGGGTCTCCAAAGGAGTTAGATGAGGCTCTAAAACACATCCAGTGAGAAGTTGGCTGTTGCTCAAATCTGTCTTTTTGGCAACTGGTGCCTCTCCCCAGGGATGAGCATCACAAAAGAGGTGCGCTGCCCTGGATCAGTCCCAGATTGGGAATCAGATCTGCCCACGATGATCACAACTGCCAGAAAAGCAGAAGCCAGATTAGCAAGAGCTTTATAAACTAGAACTTTTCCATTGTTTTTCTAGAATACATTATAAAACACATGGAGTGTAACTAGCTGATCATTCCCACCTACAGAGTAACAAGTGATGCTGACAGCTAGAAATCTACAAAACTAGACATGCATGGGACTGTTGATTGTTCCAAGTCAAAATGCTTCTGTGTACAGATGGGCAGAGAAGGACTGAACATCAGGAAGGTAGCTGGTTATAGCTACATGGCTCCTGACCTCTTCTTTTGATTCTTGAGGGAGGTAAAAAGAAGACCTTAATGGAATTTTAAAGTATGTTTGAGATATACCTGTCTTCATACATATATGTCTGCCACCTTATCAGCATCTAAGAAGTGTAGGCTGCTGAGGGAGGTTGCAGGGCTGCAATCAGAATGAGGTTGAGGACAAAGCCTGAGCACAGTGTGAAAAGAACAGGGTGATGCCAGAGAGAGGTTCAACACTGAGGATGATGAAAACTGCAAAGAGCTGGACTGCATGATCCATAGAGAGACTTTGAACTAAAAACTGGACATTTGAAGAAAGAATTACCTTGCTTCAGAGAAGATGACATGATATCACACCATCATTGGGCCAAATCCACAGTTGTTCCTTACTCCACTGCCTCTCTTGAGAATCCCTGCCCCGTTATCTGCTCTGTTTGTGTTCTGGAAAGACCAAAATCCACTGCTGGTCCACATCTGTATATTGACTGCCCTGTAGGAATCGAAATGTAGGGGAAAGAGCAGGAAGTGACTTGACTGCCCTAAGCAAAGGTGATTAAGAAGCTACAGAAGAGCCTTTTATCTCTCCCTTAACTGGACCCAGGTTACTTGGCTTTCCCTGTTGTTCTGTCATGGTTCCATCCCTGAGAGCACTGGAATTGGTGCTTTTCCTGGGTGACAGTTTCCGCAAAGGAGAATCACATCTTTCACTTCTTTCGCTCTACCTCTTGCTTACATGGGTCATCTCTGGTTCTCGCTAGTTTTTGACCCTTGCACCTGAGCTATCTCAATCCTCTTTCTCAGCCTTAGATAGATTTCACATGGCTTTTTAATTCTCATGATTGTCTGTGAGATTGTTGACAGGAAGTCACTTTATTTGGTATTTTACACCAAGCTTCTCTCTATCCAGGTATGCAAGTGTTGTAAGATAAATGGGAAGCATTACCATTAATAACACCCTACCTCTCTTGGATCTAGTATGTTGAGGCTGTTCTCATAGATTCCAAATTAATTTACTTGGCACTTGGTAGGGATGGGTGGGCAAATGCAAAACATTTCTAACATATTGGTCTATAACTTCTTCCTCAGCAATGTGAAGACAAATGGGGGCATTTGTGTGCCCTGGCTGACTTCTCCATAGCTCTGAATGAAAGCATACAGGAGATCAACAAGCATTCATTTAACAACTTTGAACTCCGTATTGGTAAGCATGGTTCAAACACAAGAATTAAATGGGGTTTTGTCTGCAAGGAGCTGACTCCAAAGAGTGCACTCCAGGAGCAATGCATGGATGTGTACAGTTTAGGAGAGTCCAAATACGTAATCCTCTGTTTTCAAACTGACTTCATCCTAGGCAAAATCAGAAACCAAAAGTACTCTATTTGCATAATATTGGCTCTGACTTGGGATTGCAGGAGTTCAAAGTTTCAGTGAACTGAGTGGGAAGAGTAGTTAAGCTACTGTCTTTATCAAGTCTGGGCAAGAGACCGTAGATATAACACAGAAAGTGATCTGAACAGCTCAGACCTAGCCCCAGGATTGATACTTACACAGTCTCTAATTAATTTCCCTGTCTAGGATTCTTCTTCAGTAAAGGGGTAGAGGTAGTTTCTTTTAAACCCTGAGAGTAGTACTTTAGTTTTGCACAAAAATTGAATTTCAGTTCCAATCTGGCCAGTGGCAGCAGCTCTGAATCGCTGTGATAGGGAGCTACTATCCTGGATGGGATGTCTTGGATGGCTAGTGGAATGGGACATGAAACAATGGATATATGGCACATAGAAGGAGTAAATCTGAAGATGTAAATCTTCTCATGCTGATTGGATCACTGGCCAAAGCCAAAAACCGCATGGAAGAAACATGTCATTTACAACCCTGCCATAGAGAATCAGAAGTATATTCAGCAGTCACAGCATGGAGGGTCACAGCACCACTATCTGATCTGCACTTCCTAACAGTTTTGAATGCAAAACTCTCAGTTCCCAAGATTTCTCAGGGAACAGGCATCCACTCTTAATAAGTGTGGATCACTTGCAAAGATTTAATAGAGCGTGAATACAACACTCTTTGGAAATATTTCTATGACCATTTAAAAAAAATCTTTTTAAAAAACCCTAAGAAACTAAAACCCTTTTTCCAGAGATGTGTCTTACAGTCTCACTAAATATATGTTTAAATCACTGCTACAGAAAAAAACTAGTTATTGCTTGTCTGGAATTTATGCAACAATCTTACAAGATACAGTCATTATATAACTTCATAGAATGCTTTAATATTTTCACTTCATCGAACATAAGAATGTAATTTCCTGGCTGTATAACACTAACAAGGTTGCCTTCAACAAGGCAGAAAGATCCTTCCAGAGAAATCTTTCCTACTATGTGAGAATAAGTTTGCAGGAACTTTGATAATAATGTGCACAATACAGATGACACATAAGTGATATGATTCCATTGACATAGATGTCCTATAAAATAACCCTGTGGATATCACTTTTTGTGTGTAGCTTTTCCAGCTTTTTTTTCCCCTTAGTTTCTTTATATATACACTTCTTCCTTAACCTCAGAGATAAGTGTATCTGAACCAGTCTTCATCTGGTTCCTAAGAGCAAATATGGTCTTTAACCATCCTTGTATAACCATTTATCTTCTCAAATTTTTTTTTTTTATTTGTTATTAGGGATTAGCCATGGCTCTGTCGTAGCTGGAGTTATCGGTGCTAAGAAACCCCAATACGACATCTGGGGCAAAACAGTTAATTTAGCCAGTCGAATGGACAGCACAGGTGTTAGTGACAGAATACAAGTGCCTGAAGAAACGTATCTGATCCTGAAGGACCGGGGATTTGCCTTCGACTACCGAGGAGAGATTTATGTCAAAGGTATCAGTGAACAGGAAGGAAAAATTAAAACATATTTTCTTCTAGGAAGAGTACAACCAAATCCTTTAATCTTACAACCAAGAAAACTGACTGGACAGTATTCATTAGCAGCCGTTGTATTAGGACTTGTACAGTCTCTTAACAGGCAAAAACAGAAACAAATCCTTAATGAGAACAATAACTCTGGAATCATAAAAGGACATTACAACCGGAGGACTTTGCTCACTCCCGGTGGATCTGAGGCAGCAGCCCAGGCAGAGGGGGCTGACAAAACTGAATTGCCATAATCAGCATTGTTTGTGTTCTTTTTTTTTAATTATTATTTCTTTTATATATAAAAATAAATATACAAATAAAAAGGGTTTAATTTTTTTTAGAAGAAGTGTGATTTTTTTACCGGTGTGATATTTCTATGAGATTCAAATTCCTACACTTTTACAATGGTGCCAGCATGTCTCCCCACCAGCCGTGGTTAGCCTCTGAATGTCCAGAAGCAGTAGCCGTAGGCCACCACTCTGCTGTGTCAGCTACCTGCAGAAAGGCACAAGAATAAAACCCTGGTAGGAGGGATTTAGAACATGAATTGTGTAGGGAGTTAGTGATGGCAAAAGGAGGGAATACTGCCCACACTTTTCAGATGAAAGCAAAGCAAAAGCAAATTGAGTAGGTTCTTCTCGCCCTCAGTTGCCTTCAAATAAATTTATACACATCTAAGCTAGTTGCCTGGTCCCCATAACAACAGGGAAAACCTAGACCATACAGCCAAAGAATTCTAAGGCATGTTATCTGCCCAGATGTGAGGATCTGGGAGACGAGATGAATCTTGTCCTGAACTCACTGAGTCCACTGGTTGTGGACTCTTGAAAGACAGACTAAGGTGCCCTTCCCATAGGTGAGTGACTGCACTATAGGTAGATAAATTCCGTGCTGGTGTCTTCCTGACCTCTTGCACCCAAGCCAGGAAGTCAAGGCTCTCCTGTGGGCACTGAGTCATGTCTGTCAGTCCTGTTTGGAGGGCTCAGACATACTGTGGTGCTCAGACACACTGGCACAAAACATCTATGAACAGATAACAGAATTACACCTTGAATGACATGTCTGGAGCCTTCAGCTGAAATAGTTCCCTGGTCAAGGAACTAATCAAGGTCAAGGAACTAATCAAGTTCTCTGGAGTATCTTTCCAGCACTCAGCTCTCAACTTGTCACCAGTCTGAGTTCTCACCAAAACAAGGGTTGTCTGAGGCTGTAAAATGAGTATGTGTTGAAGTACAGCAGGAGGTAAAAGTCACCACTAAACTCCCACTCAATTGCCTCAAGAAGAGGAGGAGCAAACACTGAGAATACCCTAAATCATCTGTGTGCCAACACAGAGAAAAACCTGCTGGGATGCTACAATGGCACGCTATGGTGCTATAAAAGGAAATCAAAAGGTGCATCAAAAGGAAGTTAATTTTTTGGGAAATGGCTACTCAACTTCACCTTGGAAAGAGTAAACACATAACTCAGGTTCCTGTTCACATTGGTGCCATGATTCATACTGAGCTGTAAAGTGCACGAATGAACCTCTCATCAAGTTGTGTGCTCAAAGGAGCTGGGTTTGTCTCAGTAAATATTATCTTTAAAATAAATCACAGATGGAAGAGCAGAACCTCTAATCACACAGTAATCCCCAGATGAGAACACACTCAAACAATAAAGTGCAACACACCGATTCTTTGTAAATACAAAGACTTCCTTTTTGCAGGCTGTTACCTGGTCCTTAATGAAAACTGGGGCTTTTTAGGAGCATTGCCACTGGATTAACCTCATTTTAGAAGATGACTAATTTGGCTAAGAAATCTCAATTCCTACATTTTATAAAACACTACTGTATACTAACAAAAGAGGCATCAAAACATGAAAGTGTTTAATTGTAATGAGATAAAAAATAATGCTTTCCATTGTAAAATAATAAGGGCAAAATTTTATTGGTTGACTGCCATCTTCAGAAATAGAAAATAATAAAAATTAATTAATAAATTCCACAGAAAATTATATCGCTGAACAGTGAGTCTGAACACAGACAGCAAAGAGCAGTCTGAAATATTATACCCAGTGATGATGCTGCCAGTAACTGAGGTCTTGTTCCAAACTGATTACTCCTTTGCATCCCCACAAATGTCGTTTTTTATGCCACGCAGGGAAAGCTGAGCCCCTCAGCTGACCTAGACTAATGCTGATACTGTAGGAGATGAGGACAAGGAAGTGATGGTATCTGAAGCAGTTAAAATAATTTCACATTTACAGTGGTATTTGAGGCACTGAATAAGGAAGCCTTGGCTGGTTTAAACAGCTCATTAACAGCTGTCCTCTCCTTCACAGCTTATTTCTGTGCTGTATGGGTTGACTACTCATGGTCCTCTAAACATAGCTAATAGCCCAGCTGAACTGGTTTTCTAATTCTCACCACTGCTGCCAGTCTCTGTAATGACAAATAACACTGAGTGGAAGGTTTAACTAGATAATAGGATTGGAGACTGGAGCTCTGAGGGCAACTTCACTGCTCCTTAGCATGTCCCCAAATCTCCTGCTTCTTATCATAGCGACCCATGGCTTTCTCTGTTATTCCTCTCAAAATCCCCATTAGCATAATTATGTTCCCAAGAAAAATTGCCTGAGTCTGTGTTGACCAGATAAGGAGCTTGCTAAACCAGCTCATTACCATGAATAATTCTTTAGTGAGGAATTTCACCTGTGACCGCTGCAGGTAAATCCCTGCTTGGGACTATTTGTCTACACTTGCTGGCTATTTGTCACCCCAGCAACCGCACTGTGTTTTCCTTTCCCAAGTGTGATGATCTTACAGGTTTAGCAATGTTATTTTTCATTGTAGCTTCTGTTTTCTGTGGAATACCAGCTATTATTTATGCTCCCAGTCTACTAGTTGTACTCCATGACTTTATGGTACCATTAGAGCATTCAGCTTTCCCTCACACCTGTCTTCAGGGTTTCTTGTTCATGAAGGATAGAACTGCTCATACCAGAAGGACCTATAAAGCCAAAACACCTAGTTATTATCCCTTGAAACATGCATGCCTGGGTTAATAAAAGCAAATTGCCTTGATACCATAACTCTTTGGCCAAACCAGCTCACAAATGAGAGCTTTCATAGATTTTCCCCATTAGGAGAAAGGAGGAGAAAGCCTTGGCAGAATCTGACTATACTCTTTGATATCACCTTATTTATTTCTATAAATATGCTCTACAGACACAAACAGCAGCCACCTGCTTCCTTAGAAATTTGTACCTCAGTTCATCCAACAAGCTCCATGTCATAAGCTCTTGTCACTTAAATGTTTTCTAAATAAACAGGCTGAAACCTACAGCTTTCTTGTCTCAAAAGTAACATACAATCAACCACATCAAGGGCAGTTTATGCCAGCTTTGAAGTAATCATTCTTAATCACTGAAGCAGATGGAATATTGACTATCTGGACAACATTTCTGTATGAAAATCATTACTCTGCAGCACTTCAAGAACATTTTTGCAACCACCACTCCTCTATTCTAGGAGTATCAGGGGCAAGAGTGATTGTCTGTGGGGCAGTGAGGGGATTTTAGTGCTGATTAATTCAGCATTCACCAATTTTTATAATATCTATTTAAAAAGTCACAGTTCAGGTACTGATACCTGTCAAGGTGTCTACTCTTGGCTCACACTTAGACTCAAAAACAGTGAGTTTACCTCTACTGAGAACAATGTGATAGGTGTGATATCATTTAGAACTGTGTTCTAAGAAAAAAAAAGAGATTCAAAAAGCTTTTAAACACAGGGAAAAATATAATTCATTGTAGTCAACTATAGTCCATTCCTGATTATTTCACAGCTGTTTTAACACTTTGAAAAGCACAGCAGAAAGAAAAAAAAAAAAAAAAAAGAAAAACTCATCTAATCCTTTTCTCATTAGCAGAACTTCAGTTGCCTTTCCTAAGTGCAATGAGAGTCAAGGAGTTTAAGCAAATACCCAGCACAGCAAAGTGGCTGATAGCCAAGTGTCCTGTTGCTGCACACTGTGGAGCTGCAAGGCAGGGAGCAGAGAGCCCAGCTCCACAGCTGGCTTGATAAGCATGCAACAAAATGATCAGAGGAGCAGGAAATAACCACATTAACCATCGTAAATGGTACATGGTGAGCGTTATAATTGCACAGTCAACTTATTAACCTCCCCATCAATCTTTTCCTATGCAGTGGTACAATTAAGGGTTGGTGGTTTCCCCAGCTCTGTGCTTGGCTGGAGGAGGGGAAAAAATATGATAGTGGAGCAGTTGGCAGACGGGAGGGAAGGAGTAGAAATTCAATATGTATATCTGCAGGCTCTTGAAACTTACTGCAGTTTTTAAGGAATGCTCTCATTAGCTCAGCTGGAAGAAAAATATATTTCCTTGGTTTCATTACTTAAGTAGATAAGGCCTCTTTTTTATTAAAATAAATAAATAAATAAAAAATTCATTTGTCCATTTTCCACTAAGCTCTTTTATATATGATGGTTGTAAGTGTTACAGAGCCACCCAGAGACTGATTCATTCAGCTCATTCATGTGAAAACAATAGCAATGTGCAGGGCTGGTTAGACAGCACCTCCTGTAAAATGCCACCTTGTGCTACTTTTCCTGACCCAGCTATCCCTCAGCTCAAGGTGGTTTTTTTCTGGTTGATAAATATGTTAATGTTGATATACTGAACATCTCTTTGTTTCATAGTCCATGTACTTCTTGAGGGTCTTGAAATCAGTGCCTCCTTCAGCCTTGCAATATTAACTAAAACAAAAAAATGAGCACCATTGTTGCCACATGGAAAAAAAGAAGAGAATCAATCACAGCTGGTTTGCTGAAAATCTAAGGTTCTAAACCAAAGAACATATGTGTGAAATGACTTTTGATTGCAAACTCCACTTCCAGCAGCAGTGACAGGGGGTACTCCAAGGATATATTCAGTGACAGGATATTAAGTATCATTTTAATTAACTCATCAGTTACTTAAAATAATAAAAGTACAACAGCCTCTTCCTATTCATCATTCCTCACAGAGACTATTTTGACAGACTGTCAGTTCTGTAAGTTTCCATATATCACCAAGTAATTTTGCTTCAGATGAGTGATTATGTCTTTTGGATGTGCCCAGATCGATGTTCTAAAGCTGCATCCAGGAGTCAGGAGTCACATCCCTGTCTCTGGGGTCAGCGCATTTTCCTTGGGAAAGACCAAGACTTGGAGTGGCACCAACTCGTTCCCCATGGCCCTGTTCCCGAGGAAGGCAAGAACAGGGGCTTAAACAAGCTGGGAGCTGTACTTTAACATGTTTTCCATCTGAATAATAGTGGGGAGAATATCCTAGTAG